AAAAAACTCGCGGCATTCGGCGGGATTCGAACCCGCATAAGAGAGTGGCCTTCTAGCCAAGCCAACACTCTACCTACTTGAGCTATGAATACCAGGCTTCACACCGAAAGTTTAATCAAACTTGGATCGATATTACCCGCCCAAATTTGCCGCTCACCTGAAATCCACCAATCGGCTCTGGCGGGACTCGAACCCTCTCGTTTGATGTTCCTAGATATCACAGTGGGCGCATCCATTGATATGAAGCGCGATTTGATTAATATTGCAGCTACACAAATTGTACGTTAGATTGCATTTTATATATAGCATATGCTTTCTACTGAATGTTGTCTTTTCATTTAAAAGGGAACAGAAGACCTGGAAAAAACAGTGGAAAATTCTGTCAGCGGTGGGAACAAAATGCGTCCAAGATGGATTATTTTGTCGCTACTTGCGGCCTTCATGGTTGCATACTTTATATTTGAACGCCAGTTCCCCAGAACCAATTGTCGTTGGACATTGGCCCTGCAACAGCTGCAGATACAGAGTTTTGTCGTGGATTGCAATCGCACGAAAGAGAAGCGTCAGAAATTACCAAAACTCGGGAGAATAGGCTGGACGAAAAGGGAATTTTTACCTCTCCCAATCGGTGCTCCGGGCAGCAGACAAGTTCCCTTGGAACCGCAATTTAGTCGTGGACAGATGCGCCTAACTTGGAAACTATTCGATATATTTGTAGATGCCATGGAGGAGCTTGGTTTGAGTGACAAGTGGATGATCTACGCTGGCAGTCTGGTGGGATCTTTTCGGCATCACGATATCACGCCTTGGGACGATGATCTGGATGTTCTCGTTGATTTTGCAGTAAGACCGCTAATGGTGGAGAAGTTGAGAACGCTTGCACCCGAAATTATAATTGGCGAGGCTGGTTTGAGAGACAAGTTATACACAAAATATATTGAACCGAGCAATATCTCGCAGGACGTCGAAGGCAGTCGCAAACTGAGTTCATAAGACTGGGGTTGGCCCTGCGTTGATATCGGTTACTTCCTCTCTAATGCCACTCACATAAAAGAACGCGCA